AGAGAGAGAGAGAGAGAGAGAGAGAGAGAGAGGGAGTTTCTGAATGTGGTCAGATACACACCAGGCGCTGAACCCGATTCGAGATCAGTTTCTAGTTTTAGTAAGTGTTTTATGGGACTTGCTACACAATAAGGTCATATAAGTGCCGAAAATTAATGGTATATCAAGGAGTAACAAACAAAAATAAAAGGAGGAGGGATAAGACAATTTAGATATTAAAAGTGGATAGATAATTTGCGTTCAGGTTTTTAGCAAAGACTGATAATAGACAAACGGGCTCATTTAAAAGAAAATGAAAGTACAAAGATTCTTTTCTTTTTTATCTTCAACAGTCGTTATCGTTTTTGTGGTCTAGTAGGTAGGCTACTGGACTCATCATAATCGTGAGATTACGGGTTCAGGGTTCGAGGCTGGGCCTAGTCCGATGTTATGTCCATTGGGAAGGCCTGGGATCGCTGGAGGTGTCATCTCGGACTCAGAGATTGACGTGTAATGATCCTCCTCTGTGTGTGGTTGGCGGGTGCTCTGGTGTGGTTTGCTTCTTCTTTCCTATCAAACATCTATCGTCCTTATCTCCCCTTCTTCTTTTTTCATGTTTGTTACTCTCTTGTAACACCTCTAATCTTCTGGCGCTCATATGACCTAATGCAGTTGCGAGCGCTGTAAAACCTTTACTAAAACTAAACGACCCTCCATCCTTCATGGTCGCGAAATACCGATGCACATTCTGCTATCTCCAGGCCAGTTCATGTTTTGATGTTGTCCACTCGTGTTACTCTTTGTCTACCCCAGCCTCTCCTGCCCCCTCATCTTTCCTTCAAGCACCTCTTTCACAATGGTCTGGTGCTGTTTTAAGTGACCAAGGTTTTGAATTGGGGAAGACTGCAAAATCTTTCCCATTTAGCTCAGTCCTAAAGGAGATAACCAGGCAGTTATTTAGAAAATACTCGAAGGTAAGATGTGGGACAAAAGGGCTAAGCGTCCATAGCGAACAATGTTAGCGGAAACCAACAAAGTATGGACTTGCCAAAATATGGTCGCTTTTAAGCACAAGGAGGCTATCCCGAAAACTGCTGTTTTGAGAAAATCGAAGGTAAAGTTTTTGCCCCTTGTTCAGTTTCTTTTAAAAGACAAGGAGAGTTTTCTCTATCAGCAAACAAATATACTCTCAAGTGAAACCAAACTTCTCCTATAGGTGAGGCAATGCCCGCTTTTGGTGTTCGTCAAGATTTCTGGAAACCCCCGAAATCTGGGTTCAGCCGGCTTGTCCTTAAAAGAGACCATATCACAGAGCATGGCGGCAGCCAGTGGTCGTAAGCAACGGCGGGTCGTCAAACATCAACCTCTAAGCCGAAGATGTCGCCTCGAGATAATATACAGCTATCGGAGATGGACATTAAGCTTGGAAGTTGCGCCTCTTAAACAACTATACTTTTTTGTTAAAAGCCTTAAATCTCGACATTTTCGGACAGATGGAGATGACACTGACAGACAAACAGCCACATTTAAAAACTTTTAAAAAGCAATTTGAATGGGTTTTTAAAAAAAATTAGATTCAGTGATTACTATTTTCCGATATCGCATATTATTATTATCGTCATCTCCCATCATCATCATCATCATCATCATCATCATCATCATCATCATCATCATCATCATCATCATCATCATCATCATCATTATGATTATTATTGTTATTATTATTATTATTATTATTATTATTATTATTATTATTATTATTATTATTGTTATTATTATTATTATTATTATTATTGTTATTATTATTATTATTATTATTATTATCATCATTTATTATTATTATTATTATTATTATTATTATTATTATTATTATTATTATTATTATTATTATTTCCTTTGTCTGCAGGTACACGCCATGCGCTAGGTCCGAAGTACAGGCAGATGGAGCTGAGACGGACAGAGATCAGATAGCAATAGTCGAGGAGGACTCCAGGGAGGGAGAAGAGGACGAGGACAGTAGCCTAGGAGGAGGAGGAGAAGGAGGAGGGGAAGGAGGAGGAGAAGGAGGGGGAGTAGGGGCCGGAGAAGGTGGTGCCTTCCGGGCATCGGGGAGCTCTGACGTTTCGAAAAGAGGAGCGGGTGCAGGAAGAGGAGGAGGAGGAGGAGGGGGAGGGGGAAGCGGGTACTCAAGAGGAGACGCCGCGAACGAGAGCTTCAGCGGCGATGAAGAAATCTTCGAGCGTGGAAACGAGCTCAACCACATTCAGGATAGCTTCAACAACGGCGACGACATCGATGTTGATGATGATGACGAGGATGACGCGGCATTCCGTGACGATGACGACAGGGCGCGCGGGGCGTCCTCTGATGCGTTGTCCTTCGTGACCCCGGCCCACATACAGCCCCACACTGTGGTCACGGCGAACGGGCCCAGGAACCTGCCGCCGGGAACTATCTTCACATCTCAAACGTCTTCCTCGGATAGAACGAAGCTCATTGGAGAACGGTAAGCAAGCAGTTTTGAAGATTTGTTGGAGATGATTTTTTTTTCCTTGTTCGGTTTTTTAAAAAAATTTAGTAGAGGTTTTACGGCGCTCGCAACTGCCTAAGGTCATATGAGCGCCAGAAGATTAGAGGTGTTACAAGAGAGTAACAAACATAAAAAAGAAGAATGGGAGATAAGGATGATAGCAGATGTTTGATAGGAAAGAAGACGCAAACGACACCAGAGCACCCGCAATAAACCCACTTTTTTTGCCCATGCTAGAATTCATTTGATAATGATTCTTTTTACTCACTTTAGTTTAGATTTGAGCGCTTTACGGCCCTTGCAAAACAATACGGTCATACAATATTATTTCCGAAGATTAAAAATCTTATAAGAGAGCAATAAACACAAAAAAGAAGGAGGGGAGATAAGGACGATAGATGTTTGATGGAAATAAAGGAGCAAACCACACCAAATGACCCACCAACCATCCACTGATAATGATTCGAACGTTCGTTCATCTATTCTTTGCTGATAATGTGTTTGTTCCTCCATGCAAGCCTTCACTCACTACCCATTCGTCTATTCATTTATTCATGTATACTGTAATACTACGTTATCCTCTTCTCTCGCGCTCCACTCCTCCTTTCTCTCTTACAACTTTTTCGTTCTTTCACCTTTTCATTCTCTCACCTTTTCGGGTGGGTTTTTTTTTCACACTTTTGCTCTTTCTTCATGTGGATCACGCAGGTGCGTTAAGCCTCTGCACACTTCGATGAGTCAAACCCTCCAGCACTTTTAACAATTAGTTCTGCCTTTTTTCCCCGGTGTGTTTGTGACATTAATTTAGGGCAACCACATCTGACTCTCTCTCTCTCTCTCTCTCTCTCTCTCTCTCTGTCTCTCTCTATCTCTCTCTCTCTCTGTCTCTCTCTCTCTCTCTCTCTCTCTCTCTCTCTCTCTCTCTCTCTCTCTCTCTCAGTTCGTTTTTCTCTGTCACTCCGACTCCGGCATTATTTTAGCCACATTTGTGATTCTAATTAAGCCAAGCTAACAAAGGCATGCGTAGAACATGCAGCCGCCACCCCACCCTTCTAGAAAAAAAGAAAAAAAAGACTGATCAGACTGAAGTAATTCTGTTTTTTTAACACAAAATTTAAAAGGACCAGTGGAATTAAAATGGCGGTGATGCGGGCTATACTACGTGATAAATAAAGTACTTTTATACTACTTTCACTCTTCTATATTTTTATCGGACCCAACTTTCTGTTGGATTAAAAGAATCTTTATTTCATATCAAACGTGCATTTCTCCACCCAACACTATCAAACGATGCACTTGCGCACACGCAAACACACTATGAACTGACACACATACACGCATGCATGGTCATAGAAACATGTTCCACGGGACACCCTGCACTTTTTACCTTGTGCTAATATTCTGCTCTCATCGATTGCTTAATCGTAGCATCTAATTTTTCCGGAAATTGGGGACTGTTCTGACGTTATCGCTCTCTGTATCTCCCCTCCCTCTCTCTCTCTCTCTCTCTCTCTCTCTCTCTCTCTCTCTCTCTCTCTCTCTCTCTCTCTCTCTCTCTCTCTTTCTCTCTCTCTCTCTCTCTCTCTCTCTCTCTCTCCCTCTGTCTCTCTCTCTCTCACACACACACACACACACTCTCTCTCTCTATCTATCTATCTATCTATCTATCTATCTATCTATCTATCTATCTATCTATCTATCTATCTATCTATCTATCTATCTATCTATCTATCTATCTATCTATCTATCTATCTCCCTCTCGCTCTCTTTTTTTTTCTCATACAGCACCTAATATTATTAACAAGATAGATGCACCACTTCCACAATGAAGGCCCAAAGGTGACTATCCATGGACATAGAAGAAGGTTGTTTTGATGGCAAGCTGTGAAAATGTAGATTTTTTTTTTCAAAATCTATTCGTTCACAGATAGTTCAATTTTAACTTGAGCCTTCCTTTAAGACCTTACATGAACTACTAGGTGCATCTGCTGCCTCAGTTCTCAGTGGAGCCACTTTTGAGTCTCCCCAACATCTTAGGCAAAAGACTCTTTTAACTTATTTCAGGAATGGGAGGAGCATGGGTGAAATAATACTTTTATGAAGAAATAAATAGACATACAGAATCTTCTTGTATGGCTCCGTGGGTTGGTTTTTGGCACCTGTTACACTCGAAAGACTCGAGTTCGAACGTGACATAGGAAATATTATATTCATAATCAGATTTCATCAAGACCCCCATCTTTCTGCTTGGGCACAGAATTTCCTCCAGAAGGCTCTTCCAAAAGCGTCTCTATTTTTTTTATTTGCATGACGTTACAACTAGCCTTACGTTACTCAACACAGATTGTAGACCCGCGAATGTGCATATTATGTCAAGTATGGTCCAAATGGATAGCTAAAATACTTTTTTATCAAATGAGATAGTTCGACAGCAGGAGTGAATGAAATGTCCACGTTTTATGTTTGTTATTGTTTTATACTTGGATTTACGTAAAGAGCCTAGAGCTATAAAATGATCTATACTCAGCGGCAATAGAAACTGTCCACTTGGAAAGAAGCCTGTATTGTGGTTATTATTTAACGTATAAAAACAAAAAAATTGACACAGACCTAATATTTCAAAGTATGTCAAAAAAGTGTTTTGCCTTGTGTTTCTTGATCACGTCTCATATAGTGGCACAGTGTTAAGCACAAACAGTGGCGGTGGCTAGTGAAGGGCTCACGGGCTTGAGCCCCTACCCCCTCCCCAATCACCACCCCAACTCTATCCTAAAGTAAATGAAAGTTTCTCCATAATGAAATTAGCAGTTGAAACCGTTATGACCTCACGGAATGAACACAGAGTGATCAACCTGGCGGCTTGCTCGCTTATCCAATCACTGTTGTCCCCGCTTACAACTACAGTAACCCAGCAGCCAATCAAATATCTTTAGGGCTCAGCAAAGACGAGCCCTTTTCCCACAGTCCGTCCTTAATGAAACTCTTCTTGTAAAAGGGTAGAAATAACAATGTACCGCGGGCTCACGCTATCCTAGCCCTGACAATGGGGTGAAAGTTTACGACACACTTTCCCCAACAGACACAGAACCTATGCTCTCATTGGTTCTTTGTTGGGTGCGTTCAACTTCTCGACAACACGGCCTAATCCAGTTCATAGAAGTATTATGTTTGAAGTGCTGTGTGTGCATGTTTGTGTTTGTGCTGCTGAGATTTAACAGTTATAACTTTTTCATCACACGAAAACTAATTAGAGGAAATTTGGAGGTGAATCGGCTTCGTCCCCACCATCATTAAGAATTTAACTTAGGACAAAGAGATTGAAAACAAAGGCAACTCTTCTCGTTTGAATGGTTCTCAAACTGCCGTGGCTCACCGTGAGTATAGAAAAATCATCACTGTTTAATTTGTATTGCTTTCTATTTGGTGGTAAAAAACTGGAAGAAACCTAAGCCCCACCCAAATTTTTGTCCACCCACCGCCACTGAACAAACTGGTACCCCTTGATTTCAAAATGTCACATCAGTAACGGGCATTGTAACCTCTTGCAATGATGCAAGTTAGCATGCCTTGCGCTTTGATAGAATCAGTTTTTTGTTTCTCATTTTAGTTAATTGTTGTGGCAGTCCATTCCACGCTTGCATCGAAGCTTGTCCCAGTCGTTCTACAATCTCACTGTCGTTTTAGTAGTTACCTCTTAGGCCCAGTCAGTTTAAGCGTAAGTATTGGAAAGATTGCAAACGTTGGTTATAACTTAACAGGACGCCTTGCTCTATGTCCGAATGTGTTTTAAAGCCGTTGTATCCTTCTTTCGCTGATAACTCTTTCAGTGTTAGTATGAAATTGACGTGCAGAGCTGGTCGTTGTGAGAAAGTGATTTCAAAGATACCAAAGCATTGTTTGTCTGTTTTCTTGGTTTGGGTCTCTCAGGTGTAACTCCAGTGACTTGGAACTAATCTTTCAGGATATTTATGGTAGCATGGGAGCAATCAAGCATCTGTGTCACTCTACGGGCCGATAGTACAGACTGGAGTCCAAATTGTCAAACAGTGCTCCTCGGGGTTTAACCTTGGCATCTTCTACTGCAATTAAAGTCCACAAAAAAGCCCTGGAATGTTTATGTAACTTTTTTTTCCGGTTCTAAAATTTCTGATGTGTTGGTCTAAATACAATTTAGACGATTTCATAATGTCGGCGGAAATTAAGTCACAAAATAATAATATGTTAATTTGCATGTGGGTCGAGTGTCCACGTGGTTAAATTTTTGTTCAGGAAATAGATCAATGAGGCGTCATCGTTGAGTACATGGTAAGTGATGTGTAAAATTTTGTTAACTTACTCAAGTGAACAAGTGCGCAGTTACAAAAAAACGAAGTAGAAAGTTTCTATTGCCGCTGGGTATACATTATTATTACATTTACTTTGTGCTGATCGTTTTCATGTCGTTCATATGCTGAAAAAAAAAAAGAAAAACAAGAAGAAACAAAAGAAATGAGCAAAGCGAGAGAAGTACATTTCTATCTTCTCCCGTGTGAGAAATGTGATACAGTAGATAATATGTAAAAATACTCCAGAGGTTATGTCAATACAGAACCAATACAGATAATATTACTGAAGGGAAATTGCTTCTCACTACACTGTTGCGCCCCGAACTGATCTGGGGGGAAAAAACGGTCAAGGACTTTTTTAACGATTCAAAATTGCATCAGTCGGAGCTGGAAATCGAACGCAAAACTTTTCCATAATAGAAAAAGTGTTTTGTCAGCTTGAGTGGGACGACAATCTGTTAGTGGTGTGCCCTTGAAAGCCAGGGCTCTGCATTAAAATTTTTAATCCCTTTTTTTGCTATAAATTTAGTTCGAGTTTGTGGTTTTTTACAACACGGTTAGTCATATAAGTGCCGAAAAAAGAGATGTTGCTAAAGAATAATCACGTAGAAAGAAAAGAAGCTGGCGAAATAAGGACGATTGATGTTTGAT